TACAGGGTTTCAACTTTCAGAAAACTGAAGCCTCCTTATAATATGTATGATGAAGAAAAACTATTTGCTGGCTTTCACATAATATATACGTACATAAATAAATCACTACTGCTAAAAAGCTTGAATATTCTACATTAGTATACTTTTGCTAGTGTAATGTGTATTGATCAGCCCAAACTAATTCATGCAGGCACTTACTCCTAAATTGTTTTATGAGAACATTATATTATATAAGAACTTTTATGAGGACTGTATTAGGTACACATCTTTCAAATCATTTGATGTAAAAACCTTGTCCAATACTTTTTTTTTCTCCTACTTCCACATCATTTTAGTGCTAAACACCTCTTTCTGTACCGTCTTACGTAAACAGATTAACTCTAGCATCATATATAATATAATCTCAAAACAATTGTATTTAAGCACTTTCTCAAGTGTCTTGTTCATTTTTATATGAACACTAATTACAAAAATGTACTTAGAAATTTGAGACACCTCTTAATTTGCAAATGATCTGAATGGGATATAACTGCTCTCATTCTAAGATATCTTTCAAAAAAGCAATTTCACAGCAGTATTTCAGAACTTACTTAAGCTTTTTCTTTTGAAGACATTTCATCTAAACAGTAGCTCAAAACTTCTGTTAAAACAATTCTGAAATGCTGTCTTTAAGAAACACTTTCTATTAAAATATCATCTGTAAGCACTTTTGTCAAAACTGTTTTCCTGAATTATTTTATGCAACATAAAAAATGTGTAAACCAATTTCCAGTGATAAATTGATAACATCAGTAGTATGGTTTTGTTTATTAGTTGTTAAACACAAAGCTACACAGTGGGCTATCTGTACTCTGTCCACTGTGGGTATCAAAACCTAATTTTTAGCAGTATATGCCAGACTTTCCAATGTGCAACCAAGGCAGCCACGTGGTAAGTGTAACAAGAAAACAAGTCATTTCCTAACTTTCATTTAAACTTTCTTTAAAAACAAAAGCATCATTTTTGGCAATAACTATTTTATTGCTTTAGGTTAAAGTTCTGAGAAACATCTGATTTTTTTTAAGTAAGCTTACATACTAACATTATGCAAGTGGTATAAAAATTTCACAAAACATGCCTATTCATATAGGAACTGCATAGGGTTATGTTGAGATTGGTAACTTAAGCTTGGGAGATGAAATTTTGAGATAATTATGTTCTATGTATAACTTTGATTGTAAATTCACTATTAAAAAACAGTTCACATATTGTCAAGAATCAATTTAATTGGTCTTTTCTATGTTTTAAATTTTATTAGGTTTACTACATATGTTACTTAATAGAAATCTCTGGGTAAGATAAACGTAACCCACCAAGCTTTATGATTCAGTCTCATTGGAAAACTGACACAAAAATACACATACATCCAAACTATGCTTTTTTTAGTACACATAATTATAACATTTATGAACTATATTTACTGTGATGTGTAAATAATGGTTTATCACAGCAAAATGCTTAGGGATAACAGCAAAAAAAAAAGTATTACTGACAAACAAAATCTGCAAGAAATTTATAACTATAGCACAAACCAAGAGAAATGAGAAACTGCATTGCTAGTTGGTTACTATTTATATTATAGCAGCATGTATCAAAATTAATGTAAAACTAAACTTACACGTAATTCATTACAGTTTTATTATAGAAACAAAAGAATATCTAGCATTCACCACAATGAAACCACTTTGTTTACACAAAACTATCAGATAGACGTATGAAATTAAGCTTTAAATACTTTTTCAATATAAAAAAACTGGTATTTTATAATTCGTATATAGACTACATATCTTGGTGATGAATAGATGAGCTTGTATACCTTAAGTAATTATTATAAATAAACCTGCACTATTAAGTAATATGGCAGCATAAACAAATATTCTGTCACAAAAGACTTTAGACAAAGTATTATTACTTAAGGAAATAAGTATATTAAAGGAAATATTGATAAATTTTCACCTCCATAGTTCTGCATAACAACCAAAGTGAATAACATTTTTATATTCATTTCAGAAAGTTTGTTTGTTTTGTTATTAAAACACCAAGCTACACAATCAGCTGTCTGTAGTGTCCTCAACAAGGGTATCAAAACCCAATTTCAAGTGTTGTAAACCCTCAGACTTACTACTCATCCACTGAGGGCTCCAGATAGAGTTCAAAGATAATTAGAGTTTTATTCATTAACACACACATTATAAATGCAAACTAATACTTTATATATCGTAATTTTAAATTTATGGCTAAGTAGAAAATTTAAAAATCCAAATTCTAGATTCATTTCATAGAAAACCAAAATTTTTATGCCAATGTATAATACAGACAACTGTATTTCACATAATATCAGCTTTAATCTTTTAAAAGAATCTGCAAAAGCTTGTTCAATAGTTGTAAAACACTAAGTTTAAGAAGCAGTTGCCCCATCTAAAAGCCCCTGAAGAAGAAAGGCCCACCTTTCGAAAGCGCTCGGGTTATAGGGTTTTTATTCATTTCTATCAAGACTTCATTAAACTATGTGTTTTTCTAACACCATAAGAACAACAAATGTAACTCTTTTTTTAATTCTTTAAATTTTCTAAAGAGGTTTATGGATTACTTAATACTTTCTTAGCCATAAAACAAATCTCTTTTATGCTATCACTAAAATGTATGAAGCTAAAGGATTGCTCTTAAAATGAAGCATTACATTTGTAATATAAAAAGTGTGAAGGTGCAGTAGCTACATCCTTTTAAATTTGGTCCATCATTGTTCAACATTACACATGAACTGTTGTTGTTACTTGTTATGGAAAAACTTGAATTATAATGTTAATGATATGATATAAAAATACTGCCGTGTTTGCGAAGCTAGTGGGTATAGCACATATTAACTTGAAGACAAATAGAAAACACCTATGTCGACAATGGTACAAGCAATAGTGGCTTTCTGAATTATTTTTTCTTCAGTATTTTGACTAAGCAATTAGATATAAGGTACAAGTTTACAACAATAATGGAAACTTAAGTGCATATACGTACGGCAGTTATCAATATGATGAAAATGTAATAAACTAATAAATAAATCATACAACAGAAAATAATCACTGCCATCTTAGCTGTGAGCAATGTATTTGATAGGGGGGGGGGGGGAATAAAATTTAACAATCAGAATATCACTGCAACAAGTGTCCTATTATGTTTTTCATATTAAGAAGGATTAACAAGAATATAGTTAGTATGAGTTAGTGATGAATATTAAAAATTGAGGACAGATACTACATTTGAGCTCAATCTACTCTAGGTTTTTGGAAAATTTCTTGAGGAAAATACAAACAAAAATAACTTGTGAGACAAGACATAGTGATTGCTTTGCCACTTTAAAAATAATCGGAAGAAATATTATTTATTACCTTTATATATATTTATATATAAAGTTGAAAGTTATTATAAGTGGGTGAGATTAGTCCATTAAGGTTCATACTATTGAAATTTAAGCAGTTCAATAAATTGCATGGATGTCCTTTTTATTATAGTGAGGTGCAGTTTTCTAACTGCCTAAGACTGTTAGAAAAGTTTAATGCATATTAATCTATATAAATTTAATAACAATAATATAAACTTAAAAAGCTAACTATATGAAAGATATTATATATATTAAAAGTGTTTTGTTTTTAGTTTAAGTGTTATGTTTATGTTTAAAATTTTACAATAATTACAAAGTGTATTAAAACAGCTTACTTCTCTCTTTTTAAACAATTACAACCAAAAACATTTTTAGTTTTAGAGAAACTCTTTAGGTCAGTTAATTAAATAAGGCAAATTCAAATACATACATACACACAGAAATACAGTGCTTTTAACTTATACATGTAGTTATTATTACCAATAAATTGTGAGAGAAAGTAGTTAAGTTTTAATAACTTGGTTTTACTAACTATAAGCATATAATAAAACTGAAATTCTTTTGAAGAAAACAATTAAAAAAACTTGAAATTCCTGGGAGCATTTTCTTTAATATTTATTACAAGTTTATTAACCCATTAACTGCTGCAGGAGCAGCTCAGTTGCTTTTTTCTGACTCACAGATAAAACTGAGTTGCCATCAATCACAATAAAACTGTAATTATCATCATTCGCATAGAGTTATAGTTATATATGTGCAACTGACGGATATTTCCGTCATTCACAGCTGAGCCATAGAACTTCAATGATGGAAATATCCATCATCCGCACTTAATGGGTTAATAACACTTCCTTAAGAACTTCATCATGCTATATAAAAGGTTGCTACGGACAAGTGTACATGACTTTTACAGACTGTGCTTCCCTCTCTAGTGGTATTTCTTCCTGTGCATAAACACATTTGTATGAGGTTAACATACACACATACTTTAATGCTAAAATATAGTCTAACAATGACCATTTTTATATAAATTACTCCAAGTTAGAAAAGAAAAATCTCTGAAGCTTACAATAACTTCTACGAGAGAAAGTTGAACACATGTTTAAACTGAAATGTTATCATTCGCCCTGTAGATTGTGGGCTGTATATCCACTGAAAGGTAAGTAAGAAATAAAACATGAATTGCTGGTGTCAATTAAGTATGAATAACTCTCAAGAAATACAATCTTAAATATCAACATTTGACAAAATTGGCAATCAAAACCTTCGTACTAAGATTGACCCTCAAATAATTTATGGTTTTTTAAATTATGCAATAAAAAAGTTTATCTTTTACTAATGACATTCAGCTACTGATATTTTACTGTCCTTTACTGGGAATCAATTTATTTCAATTCATTTAACAATGCCAATGGTTTTAAAGTACCTTAAGCCGATGGTGATGTGTTTCTATGCTTTTTAAGATAATTGCTGTTTTAAGTAGATTTCATTTGAAGTATGCATATATTATCTTGTATTAAACAACTCTCTATTTAATCCTAGTTTTCAGCTTTCTTCCTGCAAATAAAGTTGTTTTTTTAAACTTATTAAAGAACAGCATTGCTTTGCTTATAATTTCCTTTTGCAGAATGAAAGATTTACTTTATGAACAGAATTTTGTTTTGCTTTTTCTTGGGTTGAAAGTTTTTTTTTTCTTTAATGATAACAAGTAAGCTATAATTTCAAAACTTCTATATTGTTAGTGTACTTGTAGCATACCTGAGTATTTTTGATGAGAAAAATGTGGTAGTTGATGTATTTTAAACAAAACAATTTGTCAGATACTTAAAGTAAAAACATTACAAACTTTACGAACATTTTTAACTTCCTAGATAGCTCACAGTGAATCAATGATATCTCATGTACACACTCTTCAAACTGCATTTCAGTTTTGTTTATTGACATCAACTCTTGCTCTTAAAATAAAACAATATATTATACTGTACCGTAAGAACATCTTATACTACTTCAGTCAAGTCTTTGCTGAATACCTACTTACCTTAATGTTATTATTTTCTAACAGTAACAAAACATTATGTTGGTAACCTTGAGACTTACAAAGTGAGGCTTAATCACTACACTGTAGCAATCAATTTCTTTCCTCCATCCTTATTGTCTCAGTAAATATTTCTGTCAAGCATATAAGTAGTTATTAAACACAGAACAACTGTCTGATTATTTATGTTAATTATGTGTTCACACTTAAACATTCTAACTAAATCTTATATTTTTTTAAAACACGAACTAAATAATTCTGCATAACTGTTCAATTTTTATTTTTAAACATCCTACCCAACTCTACAACCTTGAACTAAAGCACTTTGGCATCAGCAGGAAGAGGCTAAGGACTGGAAGGTTCTTGTGACCAAGCTTATCACCACTTTCTTGAATAGTTACTAACCATCAAGACCACCAATGAAGAAGACAGTGAAGTACAATCTGAATTAATAGAACTGAGGCAACAATAGTTAAATCATTCCGCTGAGCTAGCTGCTGTTGAACTCGTCGCTGCTGAGCCATAACTGCTTCCAGGTGATTCTGGATAGCTTGTAAGGTTTGATTAGATTCTTCTTGTAAGCGTTGAACTGGTTGAAGTGACTCTTGTAGCACAGCTAGAGTGATGGTTGACTTAGATGTCCTTTGAGTGTTGTTCAAAGGCATCACTGAAAATACACAAAATACCAATGTAAGACTTCAATTTTAAGATGGTTAACATTCTGATAGAAAAGAATAAAAAATTAAATGGTTTTTAAATATTAATATTATTTTTATTAAAAATAAATGTAATATCATTATGGAAAAGGTAATTCAGTCGATTCAGGTATTTATTTAAATAGTCTGGATACAGTAAATATTTCTGTGTGTGTGTGTGTTATAGCAAAGCCACAACAGGCTATCTGTTGTGTCTACCGAGGGGAATCAAACCCCTGAGTCGAGCATTATAAATCCATGGACTTACTGTTATCCCACTGGGGGACAAATATCTCTGATAAATATATTAAAAATAAGAGTTTGATAAATGCTAAATTATGACAATACAAATTTGTAGTAGTTAATTTTTTTTTTTCATCAATACTTCTTAGACATTAAACCATCTCAGGAAGAAGTTTTATATATCTTAAAGAATATTATAATATTGTTTAATAAGACTTGGGATATAGTACTTTCATGGACTTTGCCCATCTAATTCTTGAAAAGAATGTATGTGACTTTTGTAAAATAGTTATGTCAACAGCATTGCTGTCTCACTTGAGAGAAGATGAATATCAGACTGAAAATTATAGTTTTTCAAACTTTTTTGGTATAATGATGCCAACAATGTATATTGGGAATAGGATGGATACATAAGTAAACTGATGGCTAAAATCCACAAGTCCTTCATATAATGATGTCAACACGAAGAATCGCTTGGTAATAGGATAGATACATAAGTAAACTGGTGGCTATAATCCATAAGTCCTTTGTGTAACGATGAATATATATATGTTCAATAGCTGTGGTTTGAGTTATTAGTATGCAATGTTCACAGTGTGTATATATTATTGACTTCTGGGAAAATGAGTATCCAAACACAGTATCAGTACTACCTAGTATATCAATACATATGTTTGTTTGGGTTAAATTAATCAGTTCTTGTCTACAGAGTAAACTATATCATCAAGTTTATCTAAGGTGCAAGTTTCAAAAGCCTTTTCTAAGCTAAAAGCTAAGCATAAAACAACAATTTACTTAAAGGGTGATTATCAAGAAAAGACACATTTAAAATGATTATATCTTAAAAACTGTGTCTCCTAGGGGAACTAAATTTAAGTAAAGCACATTAAGAATAAAAAGTTTTATTCAGGAAAGTTTGGAGATGGTAGTTCACATTTCGAAAGCTGTCACAGAATGTGTTCAATATCCTTTCCATCATTCTCAATCAGCATACCAAGCCTATCCCCATATGAATCTACTACAAGGATAATCTATCCTGTAGACTGATCCTTGCAATATCATGCACACTGTCATGTATTTTATTTACCTCACCAATACCGACAAAGGAGAGAGAGAGAGAGAGAAAAAACAGAAATTAAAGCAATGCTAGTTGGTGAAAAAGGCAATTTAGGTATTGAGCATAAAATGATTTTCCAAAAACCTGTATCACATCTAAACTTATAAAACTTAGGATTCTCAGAGTGCACCTGGCAAAATTTTGCTTTGTTTGAAAAATATCAATTGAAGTGAGGACGAATTTAGCACTTTTAAAGTTTACAAACTTAAATCTGCCTAGAAATTACATAAAACAATCAAGGTAATAAATCAATGCAGAATCTGGAAATATACAAATAGCTGGATCATTGGATCACTCAGGGTGATTATTACAACATGTCTCAACAGATTTTTTTTTTCTGAAATAACAGGTTATTTATTTTGAAGAGTTTGTTTGTCAAAAATACAAGGTTGCCAATAGGCAAAATCTGCCACTAAAGTAAATGTTCAAATTCTTGATTGAGAAAATATTAAAAGAAGAAATTAAAACAAAGCAAAAAAAAGAACAATGCTGAAAACAAATTCTATCATATTTATTTATGATTCACCAGCTTTTGCACATCAAATATTAATTTCTTCATAAGTGAATAAACATTCTCACAGTGAAATTATTAAGGAACAGTGTTTTGACACGGGGATACCTATCTTTTTTAGTCTTGAATATGAATATATGTTTTGAATACTGTGTCTTTAAAATAAAATGTTCTCTGATAAACTTCTAATGATGTCTTAACAACTGTCTGAAAAATAAAAACAAATATTTCGTGAAAAAAAAAACACATCTACGATACTCATATTATCAATTTTTTAATTATGGCTCATAACAGCAATAAATGGCTTCTATGGAATAAAGAAAGGCCACTCATTGCTGAACATCATCCACAATTAAATCAGGACAGTTCAGTTTCTCAGAATGCGAGTTGTGTTTGAGTCTGGGTCTAACGACATCTTTACTAATAGTTGATTATTACCAAGACGAAAAGCAACAAAAAGAGGAACTAACCATCGCTAAATGGCTTCTATGGAATAAAGAAAGGCCACTCATTGCTGAACATCATCCACAATTAAATCAGGACAGTTCAGTTTCTCAGAATGAGAGTTGTGTTTGAGTCTGGGTCTAACGACATCTTTACTAATAGTTGATTATTACCAAGATGAAAAGCAACAAAAAGAGGAACTAACCATCGCTCTCGGTTGAATCACTACCATGAACAACTTCCCCATCAGGTGAGGAACTTTCACTTCCATGTGAAGCCAAGCTTCTTCTATGGTGGTTTCCTTTCTGTAAGAAGCATGGAGGATTACAGGTAGACAGCAGGTGTTCCATGCGCACACTCTCTCCTTTAGATGGACTGTCAATGCCAGCAGTACTTCCAGTCCTGACAACTGGTGTTTTGTGACGAGTCTTAGTTTGAATAACATAATTCTGTTCATACTGGACCAAATCATTGCGTGGATCCCAAGGTCTTAAACTAAGGAAATTAACCAGCATACAGAATTATCAAACAACAGTTTCGGTAGTTTGTAAAAAGCATATGTCAAAATGAAAAAAACTGCTAAAGCTAAATGCACATTTAACAAAATATACAAAAGTTATTGTTACCCAACATTAAAACAAATTAACATTTCTTCTGATATAGAGGATATATATAGCATTAGTTCTTAGAACTTTTATCAAAATTATAAACCTTACATGCTACTCATCAACAACTGATAAAAACGAACTCTTACAACTGTCTTATAGAAAAAAAAAAAAAGTAATTTATTTTTAAATCTGCACTTCAAAAAATAATTCTGATCAGATGAAACAAAGTAAAATGTTTTCTGTCAAATATCAAAAATACACTTGATTGGCAAAAAAACCTCAAAAAATAACGGAACTTCTTTAACACTAAACACGGATGACACTGTGACAACATCTTTATCAGTATTAGTTGTAATGAGACAGAACATCTTTTCAATAACATCCATGGAGCTATTCTGGTCTACTAATTCCTTGATAGAATATTTTTCTAAAATTTTGTAGATAGCACACATATAACAAACAATAATAAATATTAGTCCAAAACATGCAAGCATATACACTAAGAAATCACGTATGCTATATGTGTACATCAACAGAATATAAACATAGCAAATTAGTAGGAAATTAAAAATTTTATCATCAGTGAGCAAATGAACTGCTGCTTGTCAAAGTCTCAAGGATCAACTAGTTTTCAAAACAAGAGGGAATCCTCAATAGCCGTGGCACTTGAAATTCTTTTTGGCTGTTTTAAAGTAAATTAATCTACAAGACCCTTTTTTTCCTTTGTATTAACTATATTTTTGTGCACCAGCAGTACCAAGTGTGGGATATGTGATTTAATATCCGATTCAATTTTATTACTCATCAGGATCTCTACCAATCTATCCTCAAATTAAAATTCTTTTAGGCAGGATTAGAGTAAATTAATAAATTAATTGAAAGGGTTTAACCTCCAGAGTCCAAAACTGTAATTAGATCTCAAATCAGTCAAGAGATGATGGATCTATGAGCTAAAAGTTTGAACATTAAGAAAAAACAACAACAATTCAGAGCCATTCTATGAACTTCTATTCCATGGCTAAAAAAAGTATAAATAAATGTCCAAGCCTGACATCCAATTGCTGGACTATATGTAAATGTAATTAGTAAAAAAAGAGTAAAAAGATTATCATTCAGGAATAGGTAAGAAGAGAGTGAAAAGAAAAAAAACATCAATGGATTATCATTCAGGAATTAGTAACAAAATAGTAGAAAGAAAAACAACATCAATGGATTATCATTCAGGAATTAGTAATAAAAAAGAGTAGAAAGAAAAATAACATCAATGGATCATCATTAAGGAATTAGTAACAAATAAGTAGAAAGAAAAGAAAAACATCAATGGATTATCATTCAGGAATTAGTAACAAATAAGTAGAAAGAAAAAACATCAATGGATCATCATTAAGGAATTAGTAACAAAAGAGTAAAAAAGAAAAAAAAACATCAATGGATTATCATTAAGGAATTAGTAACAAATAAGTAGAAAGAAAAGAAAAACATCAATGGATTATCATTCAGGAATTAGTGACT